GACACAAGTTTCTTGTATTTAATTAAAATAACTTGAAATTTAAATTTTAATACAAGTTACATTATCGACAACAAGTAATCATATAATAATTTGATATTTTATGAAAACATATCACACATGACTTAGGGTAACAGTGGAAATTTTCAATCGTGTAATTACCGTGAGGCGCAGTGCTTTTTTTGCTGTACTGACAAATTACATACGGAGGATGATATGAGAAAAATCTCGTGCGATTTATTCTCTTATTAGATTGATATTCAATCAGAGGTCATTAAGGTCTATTGATGCTTCACATTGAAAGTTATATCAAAGTTTTATAAATACTAAAATGACTCTAATATATGATAAAATGCATCTGTCATCATATTGTATTATCTATAGGCGTCATATCATATAAACAATAAATTCTGAAAACCAATTCTAAATGCCCCCTTCCGAGTAAAATCACAAATTGAAATGTCAAAACATACTTTCTATTTTTCTACACGTACGGACGGGGGGGGGGTCAAATTCCTCTACTTTATTAAATTTATAAAGTAATCACTTCCAATTAATTAAGATTATGTTTCTATCACCTAATCATATTTACAAATACCTTTAGCCTAAGAAACTTTTGGAACATCTCTTTACTTTCCCTTTACATGTAGGTACACAGTCAGCATGCAGCTAGTGTATAATCTACAACTATTGAAAATCAAGCAATTACGCTTTTTTCGTGGAAAAAGTTAAATGGGCACACTGACAATATTTGGTACACTATGGAGATGGTCAAGGCATGTAACTTTTCACAGGCATCCGTAAAACTAAGAATTGATATGCAAGTATTTTAAAAAGTTAAAGTTTAAAAATCTCTCTTGATACGGTGGTATTTCTGAAAATGTTTAACTTTATACATTCCTTGTGAAGAGGTTTATAAAGAATTACATAAATGAGTGCAACAACAGCTAGCATGATAGGAAAATGTCATGTATATCACTTCAAAATAAAAATGATTCATGCGTGACCTTAAACTCTAAAGTACATAATTCTAACAAAAAGTAAACAACTTTTAAGTTATTACATGAAAACAGCATATCTTATTATTGAACTAATAAATGATACCTGGTTCCGATACATGATACAAATGACATTATTATATAAACTTTGTTCTGAACAGTTCCTCATATTTCATAAGTGAAGGCTTATGTTTCATTATGATTTTTAAGTTAACTGTCACTTTCCTAAGAATGTGAGAGACCAATGCAAAAGACACTGTTCCATCTAGCGATAATGTGTCGTTTTACTTAAGACTTTTTCAGACCTACAAGGATTTTATGCGATAAAAATATCGCTAAAATATCAGTTTGACCGATTGTCCGTGTTATATGAAACGATATGATGTACAATTTGAAACGATATAATGCAAAGGACCACCATATTACAAATGATTTGAATAAATTAACAGTTCGTAAAGAAAAAACAGCTAATAATTATGTAAAAGCTAACTGCGTAGGCCACAACCACTTTACTTTAGATACTTTTAGAATTTTGATTTTGTAACAAAATATATGTGTAATTATATTAAACAGTTCACTTGCATACATATATCATTCCTATTAAATAATGAATAACGATTGTTTCACATTATATGTTTCAAATAACGTATGATAATGTCCTCGTGTCTTTTTTCAAGCATCTTTAATATCCGGAAGTCGTAAAGACTGACGCTTTAGAGTCTTGATATTCAGCTTCTCACTGGCAAAATTATCTTTTCGTTTCGGAAAGTTATATGATTGTTAGATTAAATCATGTAAAATAATAATAAAGCATAACAACATATTGTTTATAAATAACTAAATATTAATCTAAATGTAACCTATTCATTTTTTACAATCCATCAATAATTCCATCAAAAAGTATTTATTTACAATATGCTTATATTGTAAATGTGATTATTCAAAACATTTTGCTCATGGTCAACGTTTGCAGATAAATGTAATATATAATGTTTATAAAAAATCGATTTAAGAAGGATCATCATATTTCTTGCCAGTCTTTCATTATTTATTTCTATATGTTAATATTCATGACATACTAAAATAGACACAACATGGATCCGAAACCTTATAAACTTTATCAAAGCAACAACGTTAAGTATTAGAACAGTAAATTATAAAAGATAAAAAATATATATAATTAATTTTAATATTGGAAGCATATGGTTTTGTAACAAATATTAATCATACTTTGACTAATAAAAAAAACAGCAGACATTCTGTTTTACCTTATATTATATATTACAACATATCACAAATCTTAAATAGATACATGAATGTCGTTGGTAACAGTAATGTACATTACACATTTATATTAAGCAAAAATATAAATGTTTGTATTCATTCAATTAGAAGTTTACAAATTTACTCCAAGAAATAATTTTTGATAATATCAAAACGATACATTTAAGTTTCACAAATTTAAGAAAGAAATATATATAAAGAATTTAAGTAAATCCCTTGACATTAATATGCTTGGTCATTTATGACTTTTTAATTTGAACTTTCTTATAAATCTCAATTACAGAATAAATTAGTTTATGCGTACTCAAGATGGTTTCCATATAGAGAATTTTAACACTGTAAAAACATGGTTAATATATCTTTTACAGTATACTTTGTCTTATGCATTGGTAATCATGGTATTTAGACAAAACTTGGCTTCTCATATAGTTTGTTCTTTTAAGCAAATGTACAGAACGTAAATTTAAAAGATAAAGAAATAAATATAAACGCAATATATAAACATGTATTTTTTATATGTATTTATAACATCATTTATGCTAAACAGCATATTTTAATTAAATATTTTGATTAAATATTTGTCAAAGTTGTAACCTTATTTAAGGATTATTGATCCGGCATCTGTTTCGACTGTGACATAACACAAAAATGACTTAAACTTTATTAGATTGACTGTCCGTACCTGTCCCTTTGATGCTTTTAGATTTTGTGGCGTCTGCCTTTCGTCAACGTTTCTCTCGTTGATCTTTGTTCTCATATTTTAATAAAGATGATATAAAATCTGAGAAAGGACAACCACATCTTTCTTTCATTTTTAAAGATATCTCTAGTTTGATATTCTTATACACATACCTAGAAATAAATATAACTGAGTATTTACTTTAACGACAGATTTAAAAACACAATGAATAAACCAAAGCTATGAACAAGTATACAAAAATTATATCACAAATGTATGCATATTATTATTAACAAGAAAACCTCTATCTCTTCAATGTTTTCTGTTATGAATGAATTAGTCTGAAGTTCTCTTCTTATAAAACACGTCGGAATTTATTACCAGTGCATTAATGTATCTAAAATATTGATTGAGTTTTCAAAAGAAATGCTTCTGTTTTATCTCCGTTTAAGAATAAAAGTAAAGAATAAAAGACATTTGAAGTGTAAGAAAGTGAAGGCTTGCAATATTCTCAACGTTATTACTCTAAATAGGAACTGCTTGCATCATTTAACAGTTAATGGCTGGCTATGACTTGTTTAATACTTTTAGATGATTGTTTAGGAAAAAACGTAAAACTTCAAGAAGCCAAGGTTTCTTTGATGAGAAAATCAAACAGTCTTTGTAGGTATACTTTTCTTTCAACTAGAGTGATCAACAATGAAAAAGTTAAACATTAACCAGGTCAGGATATTAGTTTAAATAACCTTTAACTAAAATTAAATTTATTGAATGCAATCTTGTTACATGTATAAACATGAATAATAACACAGCATTTTGTGTTGACGTTCAACCTATTAAACGTATGACGAATTCCACGCCTAGTTAACAATATAAACTAGTCAATATTATTACATTTAACCATTAGTGTTGCGTTACTTTTCGAATCCCCAAGCACTTGTTTTGTTCCAAGATGTGACGAGGAGAGGAAATGTATTGACCTTTTATCCTAGAGCAATGTTTAACTATAATAGTGCAAACAGGTTTTCGAAGTACGTCCAGTTTGTTAGTGTATCTGAATTAACACAAACATATTAACTAACTATTTATTTTATGTCTGATTTCTTTATCAAGAACATAGGTGACAAATGCATATTTTCTGATTTCTGCATATCTATTGTCAATTTTACCCGGACAAGTGTTACTGCCTTGCATACTTTATCTATTCAATAAATTGTAAAAAATCATTTTAAAACATTTATCAAGAAAGAAAATCAGACTGGATTAGATAACAAGTAACACAATACTTATATCTATTCCTTTTTAGAAAAAAATATAAAGGTATAAAAAATGTTGAAATTAGATGTTAGCAATGAAGAATATTTGATTGTTCAGTTATCACTATAGAGTGACTACGGCAACTTATGGAGGAATGGCAGAAGAAAGGAAAATGTAAGGAGTCATACGAATGAATATAAATATCTGAATTTTAAATACTTATGATATACATGTAAGAGATATGAGCGTATGGACAGGCCAAGTTCATTCACACTGATAATAATTCGTACAAAAAAGCGCTTTGATTGTGAAATGTTGGAATTAATACAAAGGCTGCAGTTATTCGAACCCATTAACGCAGGAATAAACGGGAGCTGCAATTCTTACAGCTCAAACTTTAAAGAGGCAATCCTTAAGCCGTAATATTTAGGCCTCTTATGATCACGCAGGAATAAACAGTAGCTGTAATTCTTACAACTTAAACTTTAAAGCAAACCTTTAGTCGTAATATTTACGAAACAATAATCTAGTTATATGATTTGTTTGAGATTCGTATGTTAACGAATGTGAACAATTCTATGTCCAAAAATTCAAAATATCTGCTACAAAAAGCTAAAATAGATATAAAATCCTGCTTCTCAGAAAACAAGAATATCAGATAATTATGGATAAACTGTCTTTAAATAAACAAATAAATCAATTTCAAACCCCCTAAGACGTGTTGGTCATAATAAGAATCAAGTCACCTACGCTCCCACTTGTTTGTATGATTTGTCCGAACAATTATATCAGATATTTCAAAACAACAGAATAATTTTGCGTTATCGTGACATGACAGTGCGTGCAGCGATATAAAGCCCATGAGATTGTATTGGCCCTGCGTGCGATGTGACGATAAACTAGTCTTTTGTTGCTCTGTGACGCGACTATCAGGTATTTATCGGAAATGTACGGTTAATATTGTAAGCATTATAAGTGGCGGTGTCTCTATTGAAAGACACTAGTTCTATAGCGATAAACACTCAGAAATCACTGTGATTTAGTAGAGGAAAGAGGTAAATATTATTTTATAACTTACTCAAAACTATTATAATTTTGAAGAAGAGTTTTTTAAAGTTTTTTGATGATTGTTTAAATGAAATTGTTAAAATGCTTGTATTGTCTAAGGGAAAGACTGCATGGAATTTTTTTTAATAAACTGTAAAAAGATAATAAAATAAAATTGTTTTTATGAACACTATTAAGGAATTATAGAATAAAATAAAATGCTATAAAATTTTCAGATTGTTCACTAAACTATCGGTTCACCAAAATTTATAAACTAAATTTTTTATTTAATAATTAAATAATGTTTTCTTTAATTTAATCATTATTATTATAAAGAACTACTAAGAATATGTTTTCAAAAACTTCGCTTGAGCGTTACCTCTAAGAAGAAAAGCATTATTACGTTAACTCGAAGAAATGATTTGCTTTAAATGAAATATTAAAAAAAACTTTAACAAACAATTTAATTAGGAATTTTGTTGGACATAATACTTTAAAATTTTATTTTTTCGGATTATCATTCATTTTTATCTGATCTGTTTGAATTATTTTTATCACTTTTCATACATTTTCCTCATAAAAAATAATAATTATTTTTCATTTTCATCAAAAACTGAATTTTGACTTTTTTTCTTAAACTCAAATTACTATAATAATTTTAAACAAAATTTTGTAAAATAAATTATAAAACACGCTCGTATGTATAGCTGCATTTATTGCAAATAATCAAGTTTGTTATCCTAATGAACACCAAGTAAATAGTATTTTGATTTGAGAATAATATTTTCATTTCTATTGGTATATGTATATAAAAACATTATTTGGAAGCGTGCAATTAAAACATTCATTTATATGCATTAGCTGCCTTAAAATGTTTAGTAACTTCTTCAAGTCTTCACTTTGTTAGTCGTTAATTATTACAGTTTTGTATGCATCATTTTAAAAAGGTTATCAATTTAGACAAAAATTTATTATATAAACCCTATTATTATCCAGTAAAATATGATCTTTTATTATAAATATTGTCATGTTGTCTAGTTTTATTTCTTGGGCAAACACTCTGTGGAAATTCTCATAGCTACGTAATTTTTAAACGAAATGATGGTGACATATACAAAGGCCGCGTTCGGAGGGACCCTTATTAAGACTAAAAACACATGCATATATAGTTGTTGTGCCAATACAAAATTTAAAAATAAATCTGTCAGTAGTGCGTTGAATACTAAAGATTATTGCTTTTGGAATGAATCCGTCGACTGTCAGTTTTTAAATCTAATACCATTAGAAGGAAATATACCGCCAATTGACAATAATGAATATAAATGAACGACACACTGTAAGATATGCGACCGCACGGATTCCGAAGGATTTTATTACAGACAGTTCTGTCACCGAGGATTAATTTACTATGGAAAATGTGAAGAAGAGGTATCATAGAATTGCACCTGTAGGAACTTACGTTAAATGATTGCTGTCTGACACTTCCCCGCTTAGCAAAGAAGCAAAAGTCATATTTTGATTTATAAGCATACGATTGTAAAAATTAAACGGAACCGTGTGCTTTTGAAATATTTATTTCGTTCATTGTTCATTCACATGATAAGCATAACTTCTCAAAACAATTTATAAACGCACAGTTCAAAGTCAAAAGCAAAATATCATCAATGTTGTGTTTAATTTATTCTAATTAGGTACACTGCAAATAAGCAATGTATAAGAATTTAACAAGTTCTCTTTTCTATAACTCATAACAACACATAACTAGTGTTCAAAGAAGTTGAATTAGAGTTGTTATTAATATCATTTAATCAAAGAGAAAAACTGTATATATATTATTTCCAATCTGTAGTTTTCATAACACATTTATATCTGTTATAATTATATTTTTTCTTGACAAAATCAAACTCTTTTGACTTTTCCAGTTATTCAAAGCAAAGTTTTGCAGTTATTTATATAATGTCATATACATAATTTACATCATTAAAATATTGCACAAGATTAAGTTCATGCTTTTATTTTTAATTTGAAGTTAATTTTGTTAAACTCTTGAGCGAAATAGGTTTAGAAAATTAGCTTATTTCAAATTTCATATTGCAGGTCAGTGACAGTTTGATAATAGATTCTATTTAAATACTGCATTTGCTCTGTAATAGCTACTTATTTCTTATCTTTATTGCAATACACAGATATAAAGGAACTCTTCTTCAACTATATTGTGGTAATAAAGACGGCGTTTATTCTTATGGAAATTTAATAATGTTTAATAATGCATCCTGGTTTATTGAGAACATCGGTTTTTCTATACAATATCACCACAATTTATTTAATATCCAGACGCGACATATCTGGACTTCATAAAAACTATAACATATTTAATAGTTACAAGTTTGTAGGTTTGCAGTATTTTATATGAATAATCTACTTCAGCAAAAAGATTTTTCCCGATTTGTGGCCACATGTCGTTTCGTATCTGTCTAATGTCCTTTATTCCATTTCCATTAATAACGCTAAAATTTCCAGCTTCAATTTAATGTTAAAGCAAATCATATAATGTTTGTTTCTTTGGTTTGGTTTTAACGTGCCTCAACACTTAAGTCATATGGCGCCGAAACAAGAAAGATGATTTTGGCTGACCGCGGTTGTTACAAAATTATATCAACACTTATGCTCAAAACTTCCTCACCTGCTGAAGCTAATAGATGCATAGACTTCAGTAACTTAGACCCCTTTTAGTCGCCTCTTACGATCAAACAGGGCTAAACAGTGGCTGCAGTTATGATGCCTCAATCCTTAAAGACAATCCCCCAGTCACAAGAGGTCGTATAAAGTAAATGCATATAATTACGACAACAAAGTCTATTTAGAATGAAGCAGTTTTGTATTGTATATTTACCAGACTATATTAGCTCAAGAAAATTATAATCGATTATTGACCAGGCTAATAAATTTTGTTCAAGAACGTTCTACTTGTTACAACTTCTTTCATGGTTTTAGAAAGCATTATTCGAACAGAATGGATCGATGGGTTTGTGGCGATCTAATTCATCGTTAACACAATTGATATGATCGTGCATATTTTAAGGTTTTTATTTATTTATGTATTTACGTAATGCTTTTTTCAACAACACAGTCGACTCTTTATCAAATAATTACCGGTTCAAATATTTAAGAATTGAAGAATTAAAAAAACAAAAAACAATTTCATCACCTCTTATGTTTGCGTTTATTATTTTTCTTCAAAATAACTTTCCAACAATTCTATACCACATTCTTTAAGGTAAAGCTCAAATATTTTAGGATTATTTTATAAATCATATTTTTTTTGTTTTAAAATAACTACTGTAAAATGATAATGCTTCTTTTACACGTGAAAATTTAAATAAAATACAGATCATTTTATTATTCCAATATGTAAGAGAGGTTATTTTTGAAGAATAATTCAAGCATTTTTTATATCTGAACATTTGACCTAGAATAATTAGTTATATCTAAATAATACAATGTCTGTCAAAACATGATTCAATATAATACTTCAGATAGTTGAACATACGTGTCACTTGTTTATTGATAATCACTGTGACATTCATTTTTAACGTTTGTGTATGACTTTATTTTCTTTATAGACGTTAAAATGTTAAGCTCACTCAATTGATCACATTCTGTAATGATGCTTGTGGTGAATTATATAGCGTCTAATCAATGTAAATGCATATTAAATAGTAATTGGTTCGTTTGATTTGTATTGACTATTGGCAAATAATACGCCTGTATAATTTAATAACGTTCGATTTTGTGTCACATAGGAAATAAAGTCAACCGATATTAGATGTACTTATTTTGATGCTTAATAATAACGACAAAGGAATTAATTTATTAAAATTTGATCAATTGACTTTATACATAAGTCAAAATCTATCCACTACTTGTAAAAATTGTCATTTAATTATTTGTATATTATCTTCGCATTCATTACAACGTTTGATATTTCAGAAGCTTTAATGTTGAAAATACAGTGAATTATGAACACAATTATATTTCTCCTTATAATTCTCCTTTCAGATAAAATGGAACAATTATCAGGTCTAATGTCCGTTCTGGTGCTGTCCGTAATTTGTCTAGCAGTAACATTTACTACAGCACTCCCAGTTGCACTCGGGTCTTTAGGCGAGTACAACAGTGAAATTGACGCTTCGGACATATTCGATTCCTGCTCTTTATGTTTGACATATAATGATGCACAAGATTGCGCTTTGTGTTATTTAGGAGCTGATGACAACTCCGTTGAGAAAAGATCAGGACATTATAACCCATTGCTTAGAGGACAGTTCCCTAAAAAGAACTATCAATATTATAACCCATTATCCAGAGGAAGTTATTTGAAAAAGTCGTACACTCCTATGACAAGAGTTTATCATCCATTTTTGAGAGGTGGCTACAGAGGACCAGTTCTACCACAAAGGAGCTATTGGAACTTAGATGAGGCGGCAGAACAGCCTTAAATTTTAGGCCGTTAATGTACATTCCATGTCGATAAATGTTCTTGTGCAAGTTGTTTAGAATAAACGAAAAATGTGAATACTTAAATGTGAATTGGTTGAATTAAAGAGAAATATATTGATAAAGAGAATACTGAACACATTATAACACGGGGACTACACATTTGAACTATTTGGGTAATCAAATGCGATAGCTTACGATTTGTTGAAAATCATTAACATTTACAAACAAAATGTAAAAGTCATCAATCTGAGATGCTAATAACTTTCATGGAAAGTGGCAATTGAGCGAAGAATAGATTTGTGAAAGGAACATGTTAACAGTGCAGTAGTAACTTTCATCAGTGGTACATTAATATTGCGTGTACATGATGTACACATTTGAACTTTTGAATCATTATAACATGTATCAATATTTGTTCCGATTCAAAAACGTCCTTTTGGAAATCAAAAACAATAATAAGCTGTATTTCGTATCTTATTACTTTAATAATAAATGTCATTTTTATGTCTGGGTCCGCATCAAAGTTCTTGAAATTTATTCAATAAACAATTAGTTTTGTAAAATTTGAAAATTGCCTTTGTTACTCATATGTCTTGTGATGAACAAATAAATCTATTGTATTATATGACTAATTGTATCTTTTATTAATCAAGCACGATAATGTACGTTTCTTGATTTGATTTCATGGTGGGTTAAGCCCCATTTACAAGCAAAATGAATAGTATATTAAGACATGTTATTTTTATTAATGAATGAAAGCAGAAGCCGCTGAAAATAGCATATTGCTGTTTTCGTCGAGGTATTAATACAATGATCCTTTAAGAAAAAAGATTATTATAGTGATTGCTCATTTACCATGTGTTATATATAGTTAAAAACAGTAACTGTCAGGATGTTTTTGTAAATGTTTAGTTGTAACGATAGGTGGTTCAACTAGATAATCGCCCTTCTTATGTTTCATTTCTTTCTCGAGAAAAGTAACATATGCCAAAGTCTCTTTTTGGTATAATAAACTCTTCACTTATTTAATGTATATTTGAACCAAAATTAGTGCACGCTAGTATCTCAAATAGTTGACAAAACAGAAATATTCAGTTTTCAAGTTGCAATAAACAGAAATAATGGCAACCTGGCATTGTGCCTGCAAAGATAATTATGGCTGTTAATATTAAACCAATGCTTCGCTGAAAAAAATAACAAGTATTAAAACATCGGAAGAGTATTTGTCAATAAAGATAATGTTTACTGTGAAAATTCTAATGCTGATGTGTCCACTTCCAAAACAATTCTTTAAGACGTGCATAGTTAGAGCTTTTGTACATTAATCTTGTTATTTTAAACTTATCTGATTTTTAGACAAACAAGTACAGATGATGTTCGTTCGTAAAGAATGTGTTATTCTGAATTTCGTTTTCGTCTTGTATCTATACAACAAAATATAAAAAATAAAAACATGTTTTTTTTTTTTATTTTGTTAATCAATCGGACAAACAATCTGCACTTTTTAAACTGAACGCACATAATAAATTATTTTAGCTTGTGTGTACACAAAAATGATTTTATCGCTCTCTGTCTCAGATCACGATAACGATAAAGATAAAATGAATAAAATGGGTTCCTTAAAGTACGCCTAAAACGCAAAATCTAAATATCACAGATTTGGTTTGATTAAGCCTGTCCATGTACGACAATGATCAATAGATGAACCTTGCAAAGCTTAAGCAGTATTCAACATTTAATTATAAATAAAACAATTGTGAACCTTTGTTTTTTATCTGAATGAAAACAAATTGTTCAAAAGTCAATAACCGGTGCTAGTGCTTATTTAAACACAAATAGAAAAATCTCCGACTTATCTCACCATGAAAGTGACGTGTGTCAAATGCAAATATCTTATATACGCAGGTCACGAAACAAACTGCTTAAAGATAAAAGAATATTCCTTATCATGCTTTATACTAACAGATTGTCCAGCAAACGAAGTATTTTGTTTTTAATCTTACAGTAACAGATAAATATAAATATGTTTTGTAGAGAAAATCCGATCTGGGTGATGAAAAATGCTGTGGATGACTATAAAAAAGGAGAATTGCAAAAATCAACTTAAGATAACTTGTAACGGTCATTAATTCGATAAAAATATGTCCTGGTTTTAAATTATTATTGCTTTTTTTGCCAATTGTTTTAAGTTATTAAAAGTTATCCAGACCACTTAAGTTATACTCTTTGTAATTCACCATTATAATATTCATGTTCAATAATTGGGTGATCATCTTGGAAAGTCAGAAACCTAATTAGTTCTTTTAGATAATCGAAATAAACTGGTTATTCATTTGATTCAATAGATAGTTGGGCAATGTTGGTATGGTGTAAACATTAAGAACAATTAATTTGAAAAGAACTTTTTTTAATATCATGTTCCAATTCGATAAAATATTGGATTGGCCCTAATAATGACATAAACAGACACAAAAGAACAATATTTTAATTTTACAACCACCTGAAATGTTAATACAAAGAGTTATGCTAAAACGATTTATTGTATATTTTGGTTTTAATTTATTTCCTTGTCAACCTTTCTTAATTTGCACAGATTCTTGTTTGGTAAAAGTATCAAATCAACGATAATAATGATTTCAGTTAAAAACTGGTATCATAAAATAAACGAAATGAGAACATATAATGGCATTGCATATTTAACAAGAAAAAATGTTTTCATATAGCTCTATGTTTTAGAACTATTAAAAACATAACAAAACGTATTTAGATGTTACGCAAATCGACTTCATAATTTGAGATTTACAAAATATCAATTTACAATTTTTTTCCATTTGGTTTTTTACTCAATGTTTATAATGATGTATTTTTCAAAAGCTTAATGATTTTTGTGTTAAACGAAATAATGATAACAACCCTTTAGGAATTTATATCATAATGTTTTATTAAATTATATTGATGCGATTAATGTTTTACTAAAGAAATAATATATCCAATCGTTGATTTTATCGTTCGGATGCGCATATTATATATAATTATTCGCAAAAAAATTTATTTAGCGATAAATTACAGATTTGGATATATAATTTCGATCTAACACATCAAGAAATAAATGCTGCCGTACCTGTTCAAGTTAAAATTCGCCTTGATTTTTTTACGTACTTTTGGCAGCTGCGCATTTTTAGTGGTTACGTCCCCATGTTCAATCGTTACGTGACATGTCTAATTTTATAGAATAAATGACCGTTATTGCAATGATAAAAACACACTTTTGGTCCCCTATTTCCAATAGGGCAAATGCGGGTCGTGTTTTACATTAATATAATATCAATTAAATAACTGCAACAAGGGGTAATAGCCTACAAATAAATTTAGGCTTAAAGCTCGAAAGAATTTGTTTACAAGAATTCAACCATTTAAATCTTCAAAGCTATTTAATACGTGTAAATATGTAATCCGTATTAAAATTTGTGTGGTATTTATATTTTGACAGCATTTGGTACCATCAATAAAACATATTGTTTATAGCATGGAATATTTATACGCCGTTTTAAAAGTTCCATTAATTGCGTTTTCACTTTTTAGAAATCTTGTTTCAGCATCAATACGTTTAGTAGACACATTCTTATAACAAATGTTAAGTGGAATAACATTTTCAAATTTGAAAAAGAAACTCTACTTGAGCATTAAATAATAAAAAATAAACAAAAGTATTTCTTATCGTTCCGTATAAAGTTAATTCTTCACAATCAATATTTCTATAATTGTATGTGACCGCACGGATTCCGAAGGAATTTATCACAGGCACTTCTGTTTGTGGAGGATTAATTTTCTATATGAACTGTCAAGTTTATGTCCTTGTTTGAACTACGGGATTGAGATGACATTTTTGAATTACTTTGCATTGGTTATTAAGAGTAAACAAAAAAGGAAATAAAATTCGCTTTACTAATTTCCCAAGTTAAAGTGATAGGTGCAACATGTCTCACGCCAAACTAGGCATCGGCTTTCAAGCAGTATTCAAGAATATCTACACACACAGGATTAGGCTGAATGATTCTAAACGGGCCCGGAAAAAATATAAAAAAGGAGAAAGACCAAACGTGGCAACGATTTTAAACCGCTTGCCATGAGCATTAATTAACAACGCTGTTTTTTCCAGTAACCAAGACTCCCTTGCAAAAATTTTGAGAAATTTATTCAACTATTATACAATTGACAATGCTGAGTAAAAAAAAGTATTTTGTAATTCAGCTGAAATTTGGTTTAGCTTTGAATAATGGCGGTGTCCGATAAAATAAATGTCATGGTAAGTTTTAGATTAAAATTTTACTTTTTTACAGATAAAACTAAAATTTGAATGAAATGAATAAATCAGAATGTAAACATCTGAAAGGTCTAAGAGCATTATCGATATATACAAACGCATATTTTACCCCCAAAAAATTAAAAGACCTTTTTATAAGTAAAATGAAAGTTTTGACTTATTGAAAATAAAAAATTTGTCCGATACCCAAGTTTTTTTAAAAAATTCCCGTTTACGAAAAATTTAAAATTTAACGTGCTTTAATTTTTTCAATAAAATTTTTTTAAATTTATTTTCAAACCTCACCCTGACATGAAAGCGAGTTGATATCACATATCAAATAACTCCTTAATTGTGTTCATTCTGTATTAACGCCATAATCAGTGAAATATTTGCCTTGAAATATCAACATCATTTATATAAGACAAGAAAATATTGTCTTCGGGTATTGTTCAAACGATAAATTTTAATAAATGATGAACACGTTTATCAGAAGGATTCAATCTTAAAATAGGGAGCAGGGAGTACATATAAATTTCAATGTATATAAAATTATATCAAAATAGCTGCATGACACAGAACATTGAAAATATTATTGGTAATCTTATGCCTATCAAACAATAAAAAACACCAGACAATAAAAACTGAATGTAAAAACATCAAATACTCCATGAAGCCCAATTTACAAGCATTGTTCTTTTTTCTATCCCTTTTTTCATCAATTTTGTACTGAAATAACATAAAAATATCTAAAATCGCACCTGTAAACTCATCTTATTGATAAATTTTTTTCAAACGGGAATATAAGGAAAAGAAAATGCTAATGTAAACTTAAAGATAAAAATAAAAAATAATACAAAAAAAAAAGGTTTTTCTGAAATACAAGCTTTTCAATATTATTTCTAGTTTAAGAGTTTAATCTTAAAATAATAAGAAAGATTTTAACAATTCATTAGGTAAGTAAAACATGTTGTTTTCCAAACAGGGATCCATTAACCATTGTCCGCAATTAATTTAAAATTATCCCAATATATACTTCGTTAAAAAGCCAAAGCGAAAAACTAAGGAAAATGAAATTAGATTAGAAAAATTGAAACGAACAAATGGAAACTTTATTTCATCAAAAGTCATCCAAATTTATAAAATTCCCCGTAAAATCACTTCAAGGTTTACGCTTTTTCAAAGACTTACAAAAAAAAACTCATTTTAAAAAAAACGGGGAAAAAAGATTTTTCAGTTTTTTGTTAAACAATGCAAAAAAATTTTTAAATTCCGTGACGTTAAACCTTTTTCAAGGGGTATTTGTTATAAAAAAACCTGTAAAA